AGAAATTAATGAATGTAAAGTGTTCCCTGGTATGTGCATGAATGGTAAATGCAGGAATACAATTGGAAGTTTCAAATGCAGATGTAACAATGGGTTTGCTTTAGATATGGAAGAAAGAAACTGTACAGGTAAGTCTTACATTTTCCCCAATGTTTAAAGAAAGCTTATTTCCTTTTGCTCAATATGGTCATCTGAAAATTTGAGGTGGTTCAGATCTTGTAGTTTTTGAGAACTTTCCCTTACCAAGAAATAAGAATTGCTAAATATAACCTATTGTGAAGAACACACAAATATTCCATCCAATAAATGATTCTCTGATAATTGTTACATTCTTTTAATAGATTCCCATACACAAGAAATTTGTTAAATTACGGTTGAAGTTGCTCTAGTCAATTTCCTGTCAGTGGGACTCCCCCCAAATTAATACAATTATCAGTTAAAACAACATTAACATTTATATTAATACAATTCACATGCCTTATCATTCAGTCATTCTAATACCAATTATGTTCTTTCCTCCACACCAAACTCACTTTCATTCACACTCCACAGCCACACAAAAGTTCATATCCAGTTGCTTACAGTCATACTCAAATGTACAACTGTAACTGACAGCAACAGGGTTAAAATAGCTTACTGACAGTATGTACTTGGTTTAAAAGGCTAATGATGTGATAGTACTACCTAAAGAAAATCTGAGGTTGGACATTTTTGAGAGTCTGTGATTTTTGAGACACTGGATGTGGGTGGCTCTGCGTTGAAAATGAAAGTTTTATTCTGAAGCATCTGGGAGTGCATTAACACTATGGGCACTTTTACATGCCCTCCAGGGGTGAGGAGTGGGGTGGCGCTTTAATTAGAGCAGTTCCGGGAGCCACTTTAATTAAAGTGCTGGTGTGTCTTGTGTATCAGTGTCCCCGCACTTAAAAATGGTGGCGGGGGCACTTGAACTAAAGCTAGTTCGATAAAGCACCCTTGTCACCATTTTTAAGCGCGGGGATGCTGATACATGAGACGCAAGAGGCTGCTGGAGCATAGCAATTGCTACACTCCAGCAGACTGAATTAATCAAATCTGCTCTGATGCACTGGAATTCCAGCATGTCGAAGAAGACTCCACACTTGCTATACTACTCAAACATCATAGATACATGTGAATCGAGGTTGTTCTGAATGTTATCTACTTTTTATTGTATTGATGAAAAGTACACTGAGCAACCTTAATTCTAAATTAATGAGTGTGTGTCAGGTTTTTTTTTCTCACAAAGGCTTTGCTCCCTTACACTCTTGCATATCTGTATGTGGTGTATGAATTATAGGAGGCTAAGGGAAAGTGAAATAGAAGGAAAGGAAAAGACTTTTACGTAAGAAAAAAGTACAAAAACTGAAGAGTTTAGAACTCTATTTCTTTTCCTGTCCGCTTTTGTTTCTGTTCATCCCTGGTCTCTCAGCTCTGTCTGACCTGATATATGTTCCTGAACTACTTAGTCAGAACCCTGTTTCCCACCATGTCCTGACTACCTCCATAATACAAGCCTGCAGTTATCTTTATATCCCCTGGTATTCTTCTCACATCCTCCTTGTCATTTTATCTATGAAGTCAACTAATACTTCCATAAAAATAATTCCAAGAGATGTGATAAATACATCGAGTAGTTCTCAAACTTTGGAATTTTTGGTGGTAGCTATTGCATAATTATCACCCTGTAAAATATATGATCTTAAAATGATGCAAAATGGAAACAGCCTTGATGTTGTTTCAAAGCTTAGAATTTTGAATTCACTATAATCATTTTTTTAGAATATTGGGTACTTAGTTAAACATTTAGGTGCATCACATGAGATTTTATTGACATGAGTTTTCCATTTGTCGAAGAAGCAGGATTCATCTTAAACTGCATTTGATGTTTCTCTCTTTATGTAATGTGAAATAGACATTGATGAATGCCGTATCTCCCCGGATCTCTGTGGAAGTGGTACTTGTGTCAACACTCCAGGAAGCTTTGAGTGCGAGTGCTTTGAAGGCTATGAAAGTGGGTTTATGATGATGAAGAACTGCATGGGTAAGCATTGTCAGGAGGTATTGCAATTTTTCTGTTTACTGTTTCAGGGCATGACGTTCTAAACTGCATGCATTAGTGTGCTAATTACCCATGCCGTGCACACCCTTTTCCCATAATTAGCCCTCCAAACTTGGGGTGTATGTCTTAAGTAGGAAAGCTTATTTTTCTGTCTCAAATGAAAGCACGGAGAGCCTATAATGGCTAGTTTTTCTTCCTTCTCTCCATGTGGGCCAACTATGTGCAGGAGGGGCAGAGTCCAATATTGAAAGGGCTAAAATTAGCTTTTGCTTGAAGAAAAAATGGAGGTTAAGCGAACCAAAGAGTCAGCTATGTCCCTACTCCATGCAACTATTATTCTGGAAAAAATTCTTCTTTCTTCATTTTACCTTCCCAAAACAAAGTGCATGTCTTATCTGGAGGGGTGTGAAATGTAAGAAAATATGGCAGTAGACACAAGTACTGTGACTGCTTTCACAAGTCAGGTCTATGACTCTGCTATGAGGGATGGACTGGGGTCATGCTCAGTGCCCTAGGGTGAAACGGGGACAGAGTCTGCCAGCACAAAGTAGAAGCTGCAGTGAGTGGGGAGCAGAGGCCAGAGAGGAGGTGAGAACAGAGGTGGGAGGGGGGAAAGTGAGGAGCAGAGGGAGCAAGTGGGGAGGAGGGAGTCAAGGCTGAGAAGAAGGGGGTGAGCGAGAGATGGGGGTGTGGGGAAGAAGGGAGTAGAGACTGGGGTGGAAAGCAAGGGCTGCAGGAGAGGTAGCAGGGGGAAGGCACAAGCACGGGGCAAACTGCTTGACCTCCTCACACTACCTGCCTCCTCACTGCCTGTCCCCTGCAACAGTGGGAGGAATGAATTAAGGACAAGCCACCAGTAATTCCATTCTATGCCTGAAAAATTACAACAAATTTATACATTTTCCATATATAGAATCTAATTATTGAGGGGTTGTCTTGAACTCAGGATCATCTTACATTCAAGTACATACAGTATAAATAACAGCAAGCAACTTTTTCAAATATGCATCTGAATGTGTCCATTTTGATACATGAAAATTTGCATGTGCAAAATCAGTCAGTTTTATTCACAGACTTTGATGTGCAGGTCTCTATATGCAAAAAGAATTCATCTTGCACAAATGAAATCAGAAATATGATTTTTGTTTAGTACTCTAAATGCTGTCAAGTGTCCAAACAGAGATTCTCTTTGTCTGCTTTTTTTTTTTCAAATTGTCTACTGAATGAAGAATTGCATAATTATTTCTTAATAATCAAGAAAACAACTCTTTTAAGATCTATTCTCATAGTTTCTTTGCCTAATCTATTACGAGAAATGAGAAGATAAATAATTGTTGCTTCACCGTAGCAGCTTTCTGCTCTTTGAACCTCAGATTCTTAATTGTGTCCAGATGTTGATATTTGTTTTCCCGTTCTTTTTCCCTCACTAATTATTCTCTTTAATCATTTCTCATGGTTTTCTTTTAGACATAGATGAATGTGAACGTAACCCTCTCTTGTGCCGTGGTGGAACTTGTGTGAACACAGAAGGTAGCTTTCAGTGCGACTGCCCTTTGGGACATGAACTGTCGTCATCACGTGACGAATGTGTGGGTGAGTTTTAGCTGCCTGCATGTGGTGTTTATTTGTGCTATGGGAACTGTCTGTTGTTGAGAAGGAGGGGGCCCCAGGAACATTTGATGCAAATTTACGTTTTAGCTTGTTTATGAATTCTTTCTCTTTGAAACTTCACATCCTGATCCTGGAAGATCTTCAGGACACTCGGCACCATTGACTTCAAGGGGTGTTAGGAGTCTCTGTGGACTTTGCATATGTTGAATGCCACACTAGACTGAACACAGAAATTATAGAAGCATTTTGGCCACTTTCAATTCAAACATGAAAAAGCACAGAGTACAATTTTTTTCATGTAATCATGAATCAAATATTAAGTTCTGTAACTTAACATAGTTTTCCTTTCTGTAATTGGAATTCTTTGCATTTGTCTCACCACTTCACTGAAATGGGTCACCTGTTCAGTTTCCGTGTTTTGGTATATATCCACTTAGAGGTACTTTAACATATAGTTTCTTTCAATACTCCTGTAATGGTTGTGGTATTTTAGTAGCCATTACAAAACCAGCCTTTTGAAGGACAAGAAATTGGAGCAATTCTTCTTTTTCAGATATAAATGAATGCTCGTTGAGTGATAATCTGTGCAGAAATGGCAAATGTGTGAACATGATTGGAACTTATCAGTGTTCTTGTAACTCCGGATATCAGGCTACTCCAGACAGACAAGGCTGTATTGGCAAGTATTGCATGCCTCGACTTCCTACTTCTGTTCCATATGTCTTTCTCTGCTTTAGTCTTACTGTATTCATTGAAACAAGTAAGGACAGCCTTTTGAGAACAAACTAGTTCAATTGGTGACTTCTTCCAACATAGATGGAAGGATCACATTGTGTAAATTTAAATATTGGGAAAAGAATTGTTTGTGTCCATGCTGAGGTCTTGATTTAAGTGGGTTAATTTTAGCTAACATACAGGTGCCATTGATCAATTTATTCTCTGAACAAAAACAAGAAAGAGGCCTCACTGTAATTTTTCTTAACTTTGCTTCTTCATACTCTATCATGGACTGTAAACACTTTTTTAAATGGTGCACTATCTCTGTAAATGAGTTATTTGTTAGTAGAGTTATTACATGATTTATACCTATAATTCAGTAATTGAGTAATACTGCATAAATTACAATTCATTAATTTATTCATGAGAACATTGAGTTATTGCAATTCATAACCTATGAATTCATGATACTATGTATATGTGTGTGTGAGAGAATTTAAATAATGGTAAGAAATTGTGCCATGGTTCAAGACTTCACCAGGTGTTCCCATTTCAGGAGTTTTATTTCCATAATGTCATGTTTTATTTTCCTACGACCTTTATTTTTTACAGTACTGACATTAAATATGAGCAAAGGTAAAGCTTAAAAGCAGTCACTTGCTTCCATAGATAACAGTGAGTTGTGAAGGTGTTAAAGCTAAGTAAAGTCTAACTCAGAGTATATAAATTAAGACTACCAGTTCAAAATGAGATAATACTTAACATTGATTAGCTTGCAGTTAAAAGGGCAAGAGAAGATGGTTTTCCTCTGATGATAGCAGGGTTGCCAAATAATATGTTAATATTTTTACAGATATTGATGAATGCATGATCATGAATGGAGGCTGTGATACCCACTGTACTAACTCAGAAGGCAGCTATGAATGTAGTTGCAGTGATGGTTATGCTCTCATGCCAGATGTCAGAACATGTGCAGGTAAGGAAGAGAAGGGGACAATAATCCTATTGTAATATTTGTTTGAGATTCTTTTTTTAATCCTAACTTAATCTCTATCTATATATGTCTTACTCTTGTCTACTCTTATTGCAGATATTGATGAATGTGAAAATAACCCAGATATCTGTGATGGTGGGCAATGTACTAATATTCCAGGAGAGTATCGCTGTCTTTGTTATGATGGATTCATGGCTTCTATGGACATGAAAACCTGTATTGGTAAGCACCAAAAGTGGCAAGTTCAGTTATTTTACAAGTTGCTCTAATTCATGTGTTTTACTGATGAATTACTGGAAACAGAATAAAACTTTGTAACAAAAAAAAATTAAAAGAAAAATCTGTACCTTTTTGTAAGGAATATCCTGAGTTTCTTGTATTGATTCCATGAAGAGAATTAAAAAAAAAAAGTATCATGGGCATTAAAATCATTTAATGATAACTGTATAATTACTGCATCTTATTATCATTGAGGTAACATTATTTAGATGATTTAATTACAGTACTTCAATACCTTAATTCCTAAAATCTCTTGTATATGTAACCTGAATTCTGAATTGCTGTGTTTTTTTTATCTCTATGTTACTTAGACCCCCTGTACATGTTACCTGTATCACGCAATTACCAAGTTAATTGTGCAATTAATTTAGACTGCCTACACTTGCAGATTAACAATCGCACCATAAAAATCTCCAACCAGCTATAGCGTTGTTGCTCAAAAATGTGTAATAACTTTGTAGCTTGTTGCTATCCAGCTTTAATTTGCATGTGTACCAGGGTCTGCCCCTGTAGCTGGGATCTGTCTGGGCCACATGGGTTCACTATGTATAGTCAGGACTGGGAGTCCCACAGCTGAGGGGACTCTCAGCCCCAGCACTGCTGGGCAACTGTGGACTCGAGTCCCAGAAGCAGCCTACAGCTGCCGGGACCCAGCATCCTCGGGTGAGCGACTCTGGGTCCAGGCAGACATGGGGTGCAGCTGCGATCTCCCAGCCACAGCAGTGCATAGGAAACCTAGGACATTCCTAGGAACCCCATCAGCGGGGAACAGCCCTGGATAGCCTGCTCCTTGCTGGTGTAGAGGAGCCTGGGATTTTGCTGCCCCTGCACCAGCAGTAAGGCATGATGAGATCTAATGCACAATTTCAGTCACACTTCCTGCCATGTACATGTGGCATGTCTGGAGGTGCAACTATGTGGTATCCACATTAGATCCCATCATACCTTTACCTGCATATGTAAAGGTACCCTGACAGATGCTTTCAAAATTAGGCCCATTTTAACAATTCTTACCAGTGTTTTGTCTTGGGGGAGCAAACTATGTATATGCACACACACACATATAACACATGCACAAAAAAGATTACAAAAATGAATAGTACAAAAGTTAAGGACTTAGTAGTTAGTAGTTAGGAAATGTTAGAATTAAGGTTACCTATGCATTCTTGGAACTTAACTACCAGAACTTATCTTGAGCTATTTTGAAGAAGATTTTTAATGAAGACTTTTTTCCTCTAATTTAATCTGTTTAATCTATTTACCTAGTTATACTGTGTATTTATACTTACCTCTGTTTTATAAGTCTCCACTATTTCCCTTTTAAACACACATTTATAATCTCTGTCCATTCTGATAAGACACAATTATTTTATACATGATTTCAAATGTAGGGGTTAGTGCTGCATTTAACTGTGCACCCTATTGCAAGCATCTGTCAAACAAGCCCTTCCGTTTTCACTTCCTTGTTTTCATTTCACTAACAGCCCTCATTTTATGTACATGTTGGTCCTGCAGACCGAGGAGAAAATGGGTGAAGAGTGATACTGAGGTCTCCTTGACCAGCAAGTGTCCTCTGCTCACCTGAATATGAGTTTTGGTTCTTCATTTGCTAAAATGCTGACATCCTTCTGGGCTCTTGGTTGCAATCCAAGTCCACTGATCTGATCATTGTTTACCCAACCAAGTCAAAAGCCAGCATTGCTGTTTTCAGTGCTTCCCTGTTTCACATTGTTAACTCTGTTAATACAGATGAGAACAACTTTGCCCTCAGTTGTCCTCCCCATGGAACAGAGACTCTGTTAGAATATAGTGTAGTACCAGTTTCTCAGTTTCAGACTTAATAGATACTTATTAATTGCATCATCCACTTTGGCTACATAGACACATTCAGTTGATTTGGGAGGATTCTTCTCCTTAGTTTCCCTGGTAGAAAAAACTGGCCGAGAGGGTTAGTCACCCAGCTCCCTTCTCAAGGCCAGTCAGCTCTGTGTTCTAGGTTTCCAGGCAGTTTATTTTTCATGGTGCAGTCTTGTCCCCACAGAAACAAAACAAACAATAAAAAACAAGTATGCAAAACAACAAAGAAACAGAAAGATAAACAAAAAACAGTGACCTTTCCTCAGAGGGCAACCCAGGCTGTGTGCTTCTTCCTCATCACCACAGCCTTCCCCTCTTCCTCTTTGCACTCTGCTCCTGGAGCTTTTGACCCTCTTTGTGGCTCCACCTTCATTCACTTGTCATTAGTTGCACGTGGCCCCCAGCCTTCCACCCAGGTCACCCATGAACCGCTGCCTACCTACACATGCGTTTCTGCCCCTGAAGGCAGTACCTCCTTACACTTACTTGAACAGATATTTAGATGGGTAGTTAGGGGGGGCGCCCCTACGCACGCATCTCAGCAAGCTCTGCAGGCTCTGCAGTCTGCCTGGTGACAGATAACAGCAGTTCACAGGGCAGCCCTAATTGATTGACCCAGACTGTAGAAACTACGGCACATTAATGAACATGTAGACGTGCCTTCTGAAACCAAAAGAGTTATATTTATTCCCACCACAGGCAAAAAAAGGGCTTAAAGTTCCCCATATATGAGATCCAATTCCAATTCACTTTAGTCAGGACACTTTCAATGTGACCCTGGAAAAAGTCAGTCAATCTATATCTGTCTGGGAAGTCCCAGCAGAAGAGAAACACCAGCATAAGAGTAAAAACAACTGGAAATCCTAAGGGACAGCTCCCTTCTAAAGAAAAAGTTTTCAGCACTGCTACTTACCTTAAAATTTAGTCTGACTGTAATTTATATTTACCACTTTTTCTCTCAAAGCGAAGCAGATACCAGCAATATCTTTTCATTCACACCATAGCAATTCTCTTTCATTGGTAGATTACGATTTTATAATATCTTTTAAAGGGTATGTAAAAATATTGGATGACATTTTTGGAAGAGGCATTACATTTCTGCGTGTCTTGGCATCACAATAGTGTTTAGTATTATAAATCATAATATTATTAGGTTTGCTTGTTCATCTGCTGGACATTACCCAATTTTAATATTTGGCCTAACAGAGAAGGTTTGTTACCCTTCATAGTTCTAATCAACATTTCGAAAAATACAACTGCTTTTACCTAGATTTCACTTATTTCTATTATTATCATTTTTTTTTTTTTTTCCCTGTTCCAGTGGTCCTCAAGAATATAGAAAATAGTACTAAATGTTCTAGTTCTGCAGGCTGGATGAGTGGTATGGGCTAGATCCTATGGGCAGGGCCAGTCTGTGGGCTGGATCCTGCATGGAATTGGTGCTTACGGTCGATCTTCTGGTGCGATCCAGCTCATCAGCCCAGCTTCACACATCAGATCTGACCACAGAGCAGTCTTGTGCTCCAGCATGAGTCAGCATATGAGGCCACATGATTCAGTATGAGCCCACAGGACTCCCTGCAGGTCTGAAAATTTGGCAAATGGGGAGTGGTGCCAGCATTAATATTGCCACAATTAATACTGCCACCACTCGCCAACTGCCAAATTTCTGGACCTGGGAATAACAGAGCCCTGCAAGGTGGATTTGGCTAACGCAGGTATAAGCAACTCCCAGCATGCGTGCCAATTAGTGGCATGCGGAGACATTTTCCCTGGCATGCAAGGAATTTTTTTTTTTTTTTAATGAAGTTGCTGCAGAGCAGCCACAGTCCCAGCGCCACAGCAGGCCCTGGGGGCAGAGTCAGGAGAACACAGGCAGGGACGATGTCTGCATTCTGCTGACCCCGCTTCTTCCCCCAGGGTGCGCCCTTCAGCCCAGCCTGGCCGCTGGAGGGAGATGTGGGTGGGCAAGGCCAGGTGGGCAGAGCCAGGGCCTGGGCAGGCACTGCTCAGGGCTACTGTGCTGGAGGCTCCCAGTGAGTGGGCAAGCCCAGGGCTAGGTGGGGGTAGCCTAGGTGGGGGTAGCAGTGGGGCACTGAGTGCTGGGGCTGGGCGCTCAGGGCAGGGTCCAGGTGGCACAGGGAGAAGCAAGTATAGGGGGAGGTGCTGTGGGCAAGCAGGCCCAGCTGAGTCCTTGGAAATGCGGGGCTTGGGTAGGAAGTAGGGCTGCCACCCCCACCTTTGGCATCTGTTCCTGGGGCCCAAGGGATTCCTGCAGCCAGGCCCTTGCACTGGAGGCAGCTCCATCCCACTTACACTGTGCCCCATGTGCAGGAAAGCTGAGCCGGCATCCTACCCTGGCCAGGCAGTGTCCCCTCACAGGCAGGGCGGTTGCACCCCATACCTGCAGAGCTGTGTAGGCCGGGCCCCACGTCAGGTGCTACTGGGCGCCCCCGCTGCTGCCTGAGCCCGTTTAGCCCCAGGGCAGTCCTTTTTCCCGCTCAGCCCCCACTTTCCCAAGGGCCTGGCTGGGCCGGCCTGCCCACGGCTCCTCCCCCCATGCCTGCTCCCCACACCACCCAAACCCTGCCCCGAGCACCTAGCCCCGACACTCGCCGACCCGGTGCTGCCCCCACCCCAGTGGGAGGGGGCTTCCATCTGCCCAAGCCCTGGGCCCAGGCTTCCCTCACTCTGGGACTGTTGGGGAGCCTGAGCGCCCCGGCCCTGGTGGCTGCTACTGGGGTGTCGCCGCCTCCCTCTGCCGGATGCTGCCCAGGTCCAGCGGGCCCGAGCCGCAGCTGGAGCCCGCGGGGCCTGGAGCCGCAGCTGCTAGCAATGGAAACATTGGCAGCAAGGGACACACCCGCTTTCTCTTTTTCCTTTTTTGTCTCTCTCTCTTTCTTCCTTTTTTCTTTTCTTCTTTTTCTTTTCCTTTTCTCTCCTTTTTCTTTTCTCTCTTCTTTTTTCTCTCTCCTCTCCTATTTTCCATCTTCTCTCTTTCTCTTCTATTTTTTCTCTGCCCCTTTTTGTTTACTCTTTTTCTCTTTTCTCTTTTTTCTTTCCATTTCTTGTTTTTCTCTCTCCTTTTTTCTATTCTTTTTTCTCTTCTTTTTCTTTCTTTTTTTCTCTCCCCTTTTTTCTCTCTTCTCTTTTGTTCTTTTTTCTTTCTTAATCTTTCTTTTCTTTCTTTCCTTTTTCTCTCTTTTTCCCTCTCTCCCCTCCTTTTTTCTCTTTCC